TTATTGACAGTCTTTTTGAATATTTATTAGTCTAAAGGATATTTATTAAATTAGAATGCTTTTTTGTTTTGTTTAACAATATGATAGAAACTAAGTAACTCAATTTTCAAGTATTGGCTTCGTAGGGATTTTGTTTGATTGCATGGAGGATTTCATTGCATGAAGATTGAAGATGAGGCAGTAACTCATCGAAGAAGACATTGTGAAATGGTCGCACTATGTTGTCAGTTGGCAGAAGTTAGAGTTTATGGGCTGTCCATTGGATCGAGTCCCAGTGGTTCTATGGTCTACGAGCTCGCCTTGTAACCAGAAGGTCCTGGTTTCAAACTCTGGCAGTGGGTGCGTACTGATGAAGAGTCCCAAACTAGGCTGGCGAAACAGCTGTCCAGTACTCCCAGGTTTCCCAGTGGTTCTCTAACCAATTTCAGCTCATGATGAAATCCTCCATGCAATCAAACTCAATTTTTTTGCACTGATATATTTAAGCGAAACTGTTTTGACCTAATATGCTGATCAGTAGATAAAATGGGTTTAATTCTGAAGATGAAATAGTGGTTTACGTCTTAAGGGCATAGTTTTGAAATTTATAAAAAATGTGACCAAGTATTTCGCTTAAATTTTCAATCTTCTTCGTGATTCAACCACAGTACTTCACAGTATTACCCTGGGTTAGAAGTTGACTACACAAGTTTTTACTCGCGAATCGTTCTCATCGTCTAATTTCATATCAAATTACGACACGCTAATGATCATTAAATAGTGAGGTAATAGTTCATCAGTAAAATATCTCATTAGTCTGATTATATATATATATATATGTTGTAAACTCTTCTATAGATGTACTTGTCAACAGATGTATTACTCATCTGGAAGAATTAAACATAATATAGAAATGTTCATAAACGTATTTTCTGCAAAGTATACTCATGAAGACCCCAGTTATGAGAATTCGCCTTCATAAACGACAAAACATCTAAGTTAAGCGTGAAATAATTGCTGATTACACGATTCAGCTTTTTTTCACTATCCGTATAAACACTTACTACCAAAATAATAAAGTTGATGGAAAAATTTATCAAAATTGAAACTGAACTGACCCTCTAAAGTAAATTTTAGTATCTTTCAGCAATTAGACTTTCGATGACATCAAGTTGAATTTCTGTTTGACAGAAACTGAAATGACTTCACAAGATTCATAGGATGTTTAGTTTTAGTTTAACCAACAATTTTGTCAATAGAAGATTTCCGAAATACACCCACAGGAAAAGTCAAACTAAACATAATATTTGACGCATATAGAAAATGATCATAGAAAGTTAATGGTATGACACTTTTTTGAATATATTTCAGAAAACGTCATCTTGAAAAAGAAGGAAACAACAAAGGGCCCAGCCACAAAGCACACTTGTATAGACTTTGCCAAATGTATACTAATCAACAAACAGTATAAATCCATTTTCTATGCTCATAAAGAGTCATTACAGTAAGAAATTCCACTTTCTAAAGTCTGCCATTAGTCTACTTTGAAAGGGATGTAAAGAGACTCAACAACCTTAAATCTACCTCACTTCATTTTCGTTCTGATGCAGTTAACTTCAAATTTAGCCATTTTAGCTAAACATTAGCATATTTCTGTTTATTTAACAATGAAATTATTTATAAAAATGACATATCTGTGTTGCTAAGTACATTGAACTTCAAACAAGTTGACTTTTCCTTTGTGTATGATTTGGCATTTCTCTATTTCCACAAGCATTTACCGATGTCAAAAAAAATTTTTGTCATCTCGAAATAATCGTTTGTCTTTTATTTGTTCAGATTTTGAAACAGATAATCTTTTACCTCAATAAAAATCTGAAGGATTAATAGACTTTTCATATATTTACGAAGGAAATTATTCCAGTTACTAAAGCCAGTACTTAAAAATAAATATGTTGGGAGACATAAAATTAAGCTCACTATTATCCGTTTTGAGTACTTTATTGATACTATTAGTGGTAAAACTATGTGGAATAGTTTTATGTTTCTAGACTGATATTGATGTAGTCGGTTATGACTCAAAGGGATTCGTATAAATAGCCTACAAATTACTTGTCTAGTATTTCACCAGCCTAGGGACGAGAAACGGTAATTATCTTGGCTAGAGGTCGAGCTATTTCGTGAATTGGCAGAAGTTAGAATTCATGGGCCATTGGATCGGCTCCCAGTGGCTTATCGGTATACGAGCTCGCCTTGTAACCAGTAGGTCATGGGTTCGAACCCTGGGGGTGGATGTGTACTGACGAAGAGTCCCAAACTATGCTGACGAGACAGCTGTCCAGTACTCCCAGGTGGGTTTTCCAATGTTTCTCTAACCAATGCAAGCTCATGATGAAACCTTGTAACCAATCAATCAAATCCCTACAAACCGACACTTGAAGAACTGATGGCCAGTTAACCAGTGAGTTCTTTTATCTCATCTGATAGGGTACTCAACCAGTATTTTAGAGGCTGCTTGTTCGAATCCAATTGCAGACCAGCTTCTTGTTTTACCTTCAATGATATCGAATAAACAGACGAAATTACTTGCTTCGAAAGTTATTTTTATCTGGAACTTTAATTGGGTCTTTGTTTTACAATGAATTTCATCGTAGCTGGGATAAAAATGTTTGTGTGTCTGAATGCTAATAAGTTCTTCAGTGTTGAACATTCCACTTGCTACTGAGTTTCAATAAAAACTGAATTTAACTGTGGATGTTCCCTCCGTTCAGCAATGAATGCAAAACTCATTCTTCATAATGGTTGTTATACTCAGTGAATGACTTTTTACTAATGGTAAAAGTCTTACATCATTAATTGATAACCTGTGTTATATTTGAAGAATAGTGCTATGTATTTTAGGATAAATTACTATGCGTCAACTATCACTAATGAGATGGTCTATTGAAACGGATGATTTAAGTACAGAGCTTTCATTATGCTTTTAGATAACATCACCATGAATAAATATCTTCAAAATGCACAATTCAATTTGAATTTAGAGCTGAAGTTGTTATCTAGAAGCACAGTGGAAGCTCTACGACTGAACCATCCACTTAAGTGAAAAATAATAACACCAATAGATAATTTAGTTAGGTTTAAGCTTAAGGAATCAGTAACTGGGTTATAGAAAGATTATTTTGGTTGATGGGAATATTTAGATCACAAATGAGAATATAATAAGTTTTCTTGCCATCTGTAATCACCATTGAATATAGAAATATGTTTAGCAATAAACAATCTACTTGATTCAAAGGTAAATAAAATAAAAGCATAAATCTTTTCATTTGTTTTGACAAGGGAAATATTACACATGGTCGATTAGTTTTGTTTACTTTACACTAGTTGGATAAGTCGCCAAGTTGACGTTTTATCAAGAAACAGAAGGGCTGGAAACATTTCATGAATAATCGTTTGAAGTTTTATACAGTAACTAAAACTAAAATTAATTGAGGATATTTAATAAGAGTTAATAACTTAATACATGCCGTTGTTTTTTAAGTATTTCGATAATGTGGAACCTTTATTCATGCAAAATTCAGTCTTATATATGTGTATGCATATACGGGTAAAATGATAGGAAAGTAAATTCGATCGATGTAAGGCAATTTACGAAAGTTGTAGTGAAACCAGTGCACCACTGGATATGCATCCAGTTTGAATTGTGGGTCCTATATGATGTCATTTAGAGAACCATTAGAAACTAGAGAGTGCTGGATGTCAGTTTCACTCTAGCTTAGGACTCTTCAGAAGTATGTATCCACCTTGGTTTGAACTCAGGACCTTCCAGTCACAAGGCAAGTTTGTAGACCACTCTACCACTGGGACCCGATTCAATGGCCCATGAATTCCAACTTCTACTAGTTCGTAAACATATTTTAATATCTGTGAATTATTACTCACTGGAACAACAAAATCGTTAACAGCAGGCATAACAGGTTATGTGAAACTGTGTATTTTGCACTTCAGTTAGTTAGGGAAAAAGTTTTCAGCGCACTTAGGACAGTTTTATGTCTGTTTTCAATTATGCATTAAGGATAATTCTCTGTTTTATGGTCGTTTAAACTTTTCAGCACATTACACACTGAAATAATAAATCACTAGAAAGTAACTAACTGTGTGAGTGTTGAGATATCTTATTATTTTTGCCCCATCAATTATAAATCTTACTGTATATCTTCCAGTTTCAAACAATCATTTTCCTTGAAGATGATTAAATTCCTAATTTTACAGTTTGCTACAAATTATTTTGTTTTCTTTCTTCATATGTTTTTTATTACAGCCTGATTCCACGCCGTATCTTTTGGTGCAGGTATGGAATTTTCAGCATAGATATTGGTAGCCCAAATTTTGCAGGCCGACCATTGATATCAGGTGTGCGTCGGCAGGGGGTCGAACCCCAGACCAATGCATGGTCGGCGAGAGTCCTAACCACTGTGCCACCGACGCATGTATGAAAAAGTTGAATGTAAGATTCATCGCATTTCATGAAGCCGGTGGTAAAAGATCCTGTATAACGGAGTGAAATGGAGACGTTCGCAGAATAATAATCATAATATGTTACACCTGACTTCAGGTGATATCGTAGGAAAAAACTACTACCATTGAAAAAGGAAGTTTTGCGTCCAGTTTATTCAACACCATACTAATTAAACGATTAATTTTGGAAGTAATATCTACCATTTTTTTCGTCAGTTTTTTCATCAAATAATTTCTTTCATATACTTTCTTTAAAGGTTAATCTTATTTAACCTCAATGAATTATCAGAACGTCTATTGACCATTGCCCTAGAATAAAAACAATTTATAACCATACTGATCATTTTGTATATCAGGCACCGTCAGCCCAACACAGTCGTCAATTAGTTATCAATATTACAGCTCCATCTGACTATGCCGTAATCACTAGACTACCACCGGATACTTTTTATCGTGTACTTCTTTTCGCTGTTAGTAATGCTTTGAAAAGTCCACCAGCCACTATGCCATCATCTCCACGGGTACCAGCACTTTCACCAAGATCTCCTCCTGAAAATGTAAGTAGCATTATTTTATTTTAAAATTATACATGTTTTATGATACGTAAAAATTCTCCTAATATAAGACATAGGTATGTCATCAGCATATTGCATATAACTGCGTTTTAATTGCCTTCTTGTTGTCTCAACAGGTCAAAGTTACTTCACGTGGGACACAAAGCGCCAAAATTTCATGGAGCCCACCAAATGATATAGATTGTACAGGAGAACTTATAGATTATGTAATTAACATTAATTCTTCTCGTTTAATAGAACCAATGGTTATCAAAGTTCCAAGATCAAGGAGAAGTCATGTTGTTGAAAGTAAGTCCATGAATATTTAGGCAATCTTACACAAGTTTTCGGGTTAATTCCTTCCTTATGTACAGAACTCAGCCGCATGCAAAACAATTACATGAGCTAATCAGTGATTAAATGCGTTTGATGATCAAAGAAATTCGTGACTGTGTTATCCGTAATTTGTTTTTCCTTGTCATGAGAGAATTTCTTACTGAAAAGTATGTGAAATTGGTGTTATAGGTAGGTAGTTTAATGTCCAGTCCTCTAATTTTCTTATTTAGTCTGAGGTAATTCGAAAACTCTACATGCTCTGAATAGAAAAAAGAATTTTCTTAAGTGAACGTCAAACATATGCGACATTATCAATGATACACTGTAATCTGTTAAATAGAAAACTAGTTCACTACTAACTTTGAAACTCAGCGGCTATCGATGCTTTGTCTTAAGCAATAACAAAAATCCTTCTTTGTGTCCGAACAGTGAAAGGTGTTTTTCAATAATACACTAATTAATTTAAGATTTTCTACTAACGATGTATGACTAAGTGAAAGAGAGAGAGAGAGATTGAGAAATTGAATCCATGTCACCTTTATTAGTCATGTTTATTAGTTGTCATAATCTGTATTCATCTTATGTAACAAATGTTTACACTATAAAAACAAAGTGTAATACAAAACTTAAAATTTGTCATATGTAAATATTACACTTTTGATACATTTCGACTGTTTATTCAACTTCTGGTGCCACAATTAAAATATCATAACACTGTTTACTCAAATTTCTTTAAACGTCATTGAAAATAGACACAACAATTAAAGTTAAAGAAAAACTTTTTCATGTGATTAACTTACAGCTGGATTTTTTGTTTTCATTACTTCAGACCTTATTCCTGGAACTTTTTACACTGTACAAGTGTCAGCAACTAATAGAGGTGGATTAGGTGTACCATCGAAAATGATTCACTTTCAGACGAGTGGTGAACTTCCAAAAATAGATCCAGATGAATTAGAGACGATAGAAATGACTGATTCAACTTTGGAATTTAATATGGAGAAACAAAATGCTGATTTCTTTGAAGATGAAAATAAAGCAGACGATTGGATTGATTCATCACAACAACATCAACAAGGTGGAAATTCACCCTTATACGTTATACCATCACGAGTAAGTGAATGTTTGAAATATTTTTGGTAGAGAGCAAACAAACAAATAACATGTATTGACAGACAGGCTTAGAAGTTCATACATTTCACTTACCTAAGATAGCCTTAAATATTACATTTAACATATAACTATGATGATATACGTCATCTGTGATTGTGAAAAGTAGGTGTACCGAAGGTATTTTCGTATACTTCTACTTACAAGTACTCGGATTCAAAATGGTAATATTTATCGTGGTTCACAAACCCCTCTTTACTGTGAATGATGAATACATCTGATGATAAATTAGTAGATGCTGACTAGCAGTGGAATACAGGATGAGCATTTCGGCCTGTTTGGGACTCGTCACCTGTAGGTGTCCGTAGAATGAGCTAACATGTCAAACTGAGACCAAGCACTTCGGTCCAATCAATCGGTGGAAAATTCCAAGTTGAATTAAATAATTACATTTGGTTAGCATTAAACTGGAAGGTATGCAAGTGAAAAGCAACAAGTTGGCGGAAGAAGTTTCAAAGATAGGACTTCAGGTGAACAAATAGAAAATAGAGATGATAAAGATTCCTGGCCAACAGTAGCGGCAGCAACAACAGACGACAATCAGCATAAATGGGAGAAATCTGAAAGAAGCAACCTCCAGTAAAGCATCGTTTCAACTACAGGCGGAACTGATGAGGATATCACCAAAGTGAGGATCGGGAAAGCAAGACTTGCTTTTATTACTCTCAAGGCTGTGTGAACATCAATAGCACTCAGCATGAAAAGTGAGATCCGAATTTTTAATTCCAGTGTGAACTCAGTGCTACTCACTGTACGGATCAGAAACTTGGCGCCGCTTCACGAAGGGCACTTCAGACAAACTACAGAACTTCATCAACAGTTGTCCTCGCTCAATACTCAAGATCAGATAGCCAGAAAAGATCAGCAACAGGAATCTCTGGCAATGAGCGAACCAACCAGGAACCGACTGTGGAACAAATAGGCAAGAAGAAATGGAGATGGATTGGCCAGACTCTGAGGAAACCATCAAGTGACATCACTAGACAGGCTATCGCTCGATTGGAACCCGAAAGGGAAGCGGCGAGTTGGTCGTCAGTTCGAGGGTGGCATGGAGGAGGTCATGAGAAGGGGAGATGAAAAAATGTGGGCAAACTTGGAGCGGGGTGAAAACGTTGGCAGAGAACCGAACGCAATGGAGACGTGCGGCTAAAGCCCTATATTCCTCTAAGAATTAAAGGAAATAATGATAAAAAACATTAAAATCAGCCAAATATTGGCACTGTGACCTTCAAATTTTCAAAAATCAGATGCACTGAAATATATATACATATATATGGGAGCTTTTACAACCACTACGATGTATCTTGATCATGAAATTGAATCAAACATTGTTCATGGCTCAGAAAACTTTGTATCCTGAAGGAATGCCTCTGAAGTCGCGTGGAAAATACAACTCTGACAAGCAATTGCTTCGAATGACATGCTTCTGCTCACCAACATATAGTGAACATTCATCTTCCAAACTGACAATGGCTTCGTGTTAACAAAAATATAAAATTAGAAGCGGATTGTTATATCTAGATATATATATATATATATATATACATCTGGTTATCTCCTTTTATTACAACTAGTAGTTCTTAATCGGTTATTGCTAGCAGTTAACAGTTACCCGGTCGGGAAATGATTAGTCAGAGGTAATCAGTCATAAGTGACCAATGCTCAATACATGGTTCGCTGATAAATCTCTTCTTTTGACCTATAAAACTCCAAGTGATACAACAAAGGATCTTCTTAGTTAGTTACTTGAATATTATACTTGAACTGTGGTCTGATTTTGGAGCATCTGATTGACATTATGCCACACATCCAGCTTTCTTTAAATCATATCTCTATCAAATTAATTTTCTTTTCTGTCTCTTCATCAGTATTATTTTGTCTTCTCAATTGTAATATTTTACATTTTCAACTTTCTTGTTCTCTACCCCACCACCCGATTTAATTTCTACACCTCACTACCACTGTTACTAACTTGACTGACGCTCAATTTCTAGTCATTTATGTTAAGTCATCCAACTTATTTGCTCAATTTCGGTTCTAAGTTAAATAGCGTTATTATCTACCCCACTTCTACTTAATCTGTACCTGTAATTAACTCTGCTGCAGCCCTGACCTAAGTTGAAACATTTTAGTCAATTATATTGCATCATCTAACTTACTAACTCAATTTTACTTTAGTTGCTGTCTAATTAACCTTGTTTCTATATTAGATCATTATTGTATATTACCTGATCAATTATGTAAACTTGGCAAACCTTATGTACACCCACGCACAAAAAAATAATAATAATTGTATATAAATGCCATTGTACAGGTATGTGAATGAATTTGCCGAAAAGAGTCTCTTCGCTGAACGTCTTCTCTTTTTCATATGACTCAATGGGATTTTTAAGCTAATTAATTTTCCTCCAGAACGGAGAAGTGAGATGTACAGTGAACCTGATTATATTTTTCTTACAATATTAATATTAGGTGAATGTAAATAAATATTCTTTCGGTGTATTCCTTCCTACATACATCCAGATTCATAATCTACGCGCAACTGTTACCCAAACCTCAATAAAATTAAAATGGTCAGTAGCACTAAGACAAATCAACATGGAAAGTGAAACACACCTGTTTGACAATATAGATTATGAGTATACCTCATTAATTAACCCAAGACATTTAATTCCTGTTTCAATGAAAAGTGAAGGCCATTCAACTGATAAAACGGGATTATTACCACCAGGAACAAAGTATGTTATTCGATGGGGTGATATGCATCCAGGCCCATCAGAGGATACAGTTCAAGGAGATCAAACACAGTATACAATTGAAAATCTAAGTAAGTTTTCTAAATACTTTTGACTGACTTTGAACAATGTTAAAATTTTGACCCAATAACAATTTAGAATTTACTTATCAATTGTGTTTTAACCACACCATCCATCGTTTCAAGTTCATTATTTACAGAGTGTTTGGAAGTCAATATAATATCTCACAGTCTACAGAAAGTCACGATAAGTAACATTCAGTTTATAGTTATAACTCTTTATACTTCGAAATGTAAACTGAGAGTAAAACCAAATAACAGGAAATCTTTGCCAACAGAAAAAATCTACCAACTGCAATGCACCAGTATACTTTGTACATTGGAAAATACAGCACGACACGGTCGGAAGCAGCTAATTTCACTCAACTTCAGGATGGATATTTTCTATGTGTGAGTGTCCATGCGTTGTTGGCACAACGGCAGAATGCTCGCCAATCACGCATGTGGTCCGGAGTTGGATCCCCGCCGACGCACTCCTTTACCTCACTAAGCCAGTAATGAGAGTGGTAAAGAAGGAAGGTTAGGCATGAGGTTAGCAACCCCATCCCTTAAAAATGAATACCACTTCCACCGAAACTTCAGGCTTCTAGCTTGAAGCTCTAAAGGAGTGTCCATCCATAAGTACTTATGAAACTCCAAAGTACAAATTTATCACAAGTAGCAGACTTCTGCAGACAGAAAACTGACAGATTAGCAGCAAGAACTTTTGTGAAATTATTATATGAATCAGGGCTATGAAAAGTTATGGAAAATGAAATCAAGACAACAGTAGAACCGCTTATTTCCTTTGATTTGTGTAAAGTAACATAGAACAGAAAAATAGCATGTGAAAATTAGCTGGAAAGGAGACCTACTATGACCTAGTCGGCTTATTACCAAAATTCTCTAATTTCAGAAGTAAGTGACAGAGGTATGAAGCTGGCAAACAAATATTGTTGATGCTTTTTAGCAAACAAGAAACCAAGATGACAAAAATACCATACAAAGATGAATCTCTAGCATTAACGGCGAATTAAAGTTGCTTATTGTGGCGTGGACAGATTTCGTGTCAATTATCTAGTGACAGTGCTAAATAATTGATCTACTTACTAAAATATTAGTTGAAGTTAGACAGTTACATTAAATTTGACTTCGTCATTAATGAGTCGGTGGCACAGTGATCAGGACTCTCGCCGACCATGAACATGGTCCGGAGTTCGACTGCCTGCCTACGCACAGCTGATATCAATGGTCGGCCTGCAAAATTTTGGCTACCAATATCACATGCTGAAAATTCCATACTTCTACCAAAAAAGGTACTGTGTGGAATCAAGCTGTAATCAAAAGTAAAAAAAGTAAAAAGTATGTGCCCACGTGGTACTTTATTAAGTAGATGTTAGAGGTACACCAATTGTTTTCCGTAGAATCTCTCTACATAGTACTTTGCATGGAACTTCTTGGTTGGAGGAAAATAACTTTTTAGTTTAAGGTAGATAGACTCTATTTCTCCAAATATAACAGCTAGTATGCTGGAAAAAGTTAATTATCGTTTAGAATGATATCTTTATGAAAGTGGCTATGAATTTTATTAGAACAACCTTATCGCATACTGTTACTTCATTTAAATATTTGCTTTAAACAGTCTTTATTAGGTAATTTTCTAAAATTTCATATCTTTTCAATTATTTATAAATTTCACGCACGTGTGTTAACCTTATTACAACCATTGCTTAATACCATTTGTCTTAGTACAATTTCCGTTACCAGCATGCAGGCTTGCATTTATTCCACTTGCATATTAGTGTTAATTAGATTACCCAGACTTTCACAATAAAATGCTTAACTTTAAATTATTTAAACACCAAGAATACACGTTATCCTCTCCCACAGAATTTCTCAAATGAAAATAAAGTTGAAGAATTGAAAATATATATGACAGTGGATAGATAATTGTTTTCATTTTATTTAGAAAACAGAATTTGTTTTTAAAAATGCAATCTAATTAAGTCATTATTACTATTATTTATAACGGTGTATCTTTCGTCGGTGGTTCAGTCGTTCAGAATGCTAGCCAAAAACACACTGGCCCATTCATTCCTTAAACCCACCTAAGTTACTAGCGGAAAGTAAGCCTGGAATAGGAAGAATTTTGGGTCAAGCTAGCAAACCCACTCCGTAAAAGCAACATTCCCTAGAAATTAAATCCATTAATAACAAACTAATTCGTTATTCCCACAGTTCAAGGATTAATATTATACCATAGCTTCCTTCAAAAATCAAGACTATTCTGTTTATTGTCTATCTTCTAACTTTATCCGTTGGACCTGGAGCTCGTAGATGTAGTACTTTGACGGTTTTCACTATTGTCACTACATCATCAGTGTATCTGGAATGTGTCTGCTGAAAAGACTGATTTGTTCGAATTAGTGATTTTATCGCCAGCTGATTTGATGAATTCTTGATTCATTTCGTAGTAAGCTAACATACTGTAACTAAGCGAGTGGCAACTAGGTGTTACTGAAACACTTTATTGGTATTTTAACAAAAGTTGTCTCTTACATTTGCTTCAAGGAGGTATGCAGTTTGTAATCAACATTAGGATTAAGTGAATTGCTAAATGACTATCAAATACTTTGCTTGGTTTATTTTCATCCAATATTCACTAACTAATAAGCCAATGCAAGCGTGAAACTGTAACGGATATATATATATATATATTTCAGAAAGTATTTAGAAGCTTGAGCAAAAAATGCATTCATGAAAATCACAACGACTATTATACTTTATGAAAATCCTTTAATGCTTATAATTGATTATGTTGACACGGTTGAACAGTAGTTCACTTTTTATACAATAGATAGCATGAAAAAAGTGGGGCGAAGTGGCACTAAGTTATAGTTTAGAAGTTACAGAGCTAAGCGCATTGTTTGAATGGTAATTAGAATAGAAAACTGACTCTCGTATTTGAAAATATCATTATTCATGTGAATAATGCCGCTTTATGATGATAATAACCACGGGACAAATCTTAGACGTTTTATTAAAACATACCGATAAATTAAATGGAAGTACTAATATCTCTGAAAGGCAGCTAAACCTATTTTTCTTTGTTTGATGGATACTGGTGACTTACTACTTTACGTGGAGAAAGAGACAGCGGTGATAATGATGTGAATATCGAGGAATACCAGCGGGACTTATAACAAACACTATTTTGATTAAAAAAATGTAAATGCAACACAATAAACTTCTTAGTTTGCGTCGGTGGCACAGTAGTTAGGACTCTCGCCGACTATGCACATGGTCCGAGGTTCGATCCCCTGCCGACGCACACCTGATATCTATGGTCGGCCTGAAAAATTTGGGCTATCAATATCCATGCTGAAAATACCATACTTGTACCAAAAATACAGTGTGGAATCAAGCTGTAAATAAATAAAAAATTTTAGCACCGTTGATGAGAGATGCTGTACAAAAATGCTTTCATCAACTCTAAGTCGTAGATTATATAAAGATCATTTGTTACTTATGTTTATCTAGCCTAGACTTGACTGTGGTCCACTTCGCTTTTCGGTGGATACGTAGCAGCTAATAGAAGAGAGTAGGGTGGTGAAAAGGAGGTTAAATTAATGCAGAGGTGAACAACAGAAGGAGAAGCTGAGTTCGAGTTTAATGGATACATCAGCGGGAGAGACCTGACAAAGGCCACTCCCTTCACTTATCTAGGAATTATCTATTCAATTACAGGCGACAGCATGTTTGAAGATGTCGAAACCAATCAGAATCGGAAAGAGGAGATACGCATTCACCTCAGTCCATTTTGGAAATCTTCTGCATTCACCCGCCATAAAGAACAACATTCAGATTGTCAACACAAATGTGAAGTCGGTCTTTCTATACGGGTCGTAAACTTGGGCAGTGTGTCAGGAAAAGGATTTTGTCAACAAGTGCCTTCGCTGGCTGCATTCAGAGGATCAAATGGCCGGCTGGCCAGAAATAATTAGCAACAATAAACTCTGGTAATAAACCAACCAGGATCGTATTGCTCGGCAAATATGTAGGAGAAAATGGTGACGGATGGAGCATAAGTTGTGAGGACTTTTGTATGACTTCCCGATTGAGGAATCCAGTTGGAAAGTGACGAGTAGATCGTCCTCGGGTAAGATGGAGGAGATCGTTCGAGAAGGATGAGATGAGAGATTATGGGGAAGAGGACAGAAGAGGACACCAGGAAACAGAACAAAGTGCAGATGTGTTTTTGAAGCCCTATGTTCCGTTAGGAACCCAAGGGAATAATATGTATATATATATATATATGGCCACTGGCTTCTCTTACCACACTCGTTAGTGCAAATACAGTAATGATGATATCCTAAAATATCCTATTTTCATGAAATTCACAAGACCTAATGTCTGTAATTATATTCAAGTAGCATTATTTTAAATACCGCTCATATAAGGATGCTTTGTAATGAATGAATTCATCTGTTCAGCGTTAACCACAATACAATACCACGATTATTGTGTTCTAACATGAGATTAAATAGTGTTTTCTAAAGAAAATATTTACGTGTCTATGTTTTGAAATTAGAATTTCATGAAATCTTGACTACATATGAGATTTTAATAGAAGTCTACTTTTACGGTAGTGCATCATCGACATATGTAGTTACCAGATTAAAACAGAATCGCTTAAACTTACGTATTTTCGCCATTCATGATCCAAACTTTCGAAATGAGAGCATAATTCAGGGAGTGTGGTAGAATTTAACTCATGGTGATACATTATCAATGACTAAATGTAATTTTAAGGGATTTAGTATCTTTCATAATCATTCCAATGTGTCTATATAACTTCCTGGCATGAGTAATATAGTTGTTCAACTCCTCTCCACAGTCAACAAAAAGTACACACAGGAGAAATGAAGGAACCTTAGTTCCGGTACCTCGAGAAATGTAATGACACACAGAAAAGAATAAAAAGTTATGCAAAGCAAGCTGAGAATTTGTTCCCACACTTTATATGATTATGAGCAACACAGTATTCCCGCAGCACCCTCCATTTATTAACAGAGCGTTATTGTGTGTTTTTCATTAAATGAACTTATGTAATATTCAGCAAATATTTTGAAACCTGCCTGATGTAAACAGAGAATCGTAGGACCATTCGCATCTACTTTGAAATATGCTTTGATTGATATTGAGGTTCGGTTTCAATAAAAACCTATTTGACTGATAACAAAAATATCTTCTACTAGTAAAACTTCACTGAAAATTGGTTTTATGTATTTTATGTTATGGCATTATTATCGTTATTGTTAATCCCATGGGTTCCGAGTGGAATACAGACCTTTAACATCACGTGCCCATTTCATCCTGTTTTCCACAATTTTCTTCAGCTGGCCCAATGATTTCCCGTGACCTGTCATCTCCATTTTTTCTTCAGTAGGCTCTTGGTTGGTACAGTCCAACAGTTGTTGTTTGCTTAACTTTTCCGGCTGGTCATCTGGTCGTCACTATCGAGTTAGCGAAAGCAGCTGCTAGTAAAAGTCTGTAGCAGGATTTTGGAAAGGCTTTCAGTGACGCCGCAAGTCTATGATCCGTTTAGAAGAACCGACTTGACGCTAGTTTTGAAAATCTGGATCTTATTCGTCATGTTCAGGGCAGCAGTATTTTACAATGATTTCATATTTAGGAATTCCTGTCTTACATTTTGTATCTTGCCCTTTATATCCTCATTCATGCCTCACGTATATGAAGCGATGCTGCCTGGACATGTAAGTGAAAGACGTGATCATTCCTCTGAATCTGTAGTCCTGAACTCTTCATTCAGTTTCATGTTTCCTGATATGCTCTTTTATACCGCCTGTGTACAATATGCTTTGAGATGAAAATACTCACGCGTTCACTTAACGATCTACTGTTAGATGTTTTGAACAAAGTCAGCTGCTGAATCTATCAAAATTCAAATAACCAACATTCGATCATTAGTTTCTCAACATTTTACGCATCTTATGTGTGTCCAAACCAAGTTTCATTCATTGGGAAATACAATAAAACCTTTATTATAATGAATTTTAGGCATCTATTTAAGTTTCTCAAAATCTGCCTATCTACGACAATCTTATGAAGAAACTCTTGATGAAAAGGGAAAACATGCAGTCATTTTCATGATAATTCAACTTAAATTTACCAGATCAATAACACTTCAGGAACGAACCACATTTGTTTAACCAAATTCGTGATCTATTACACAAATAATTACTTATCTTTGAACACACTAATTTTTAAACGCTCAAATGCTATTTATTTTCTTCATTGTTGTTTCTTTTCTATAGGACCCGGGACTGTTTATTATATTCGTGTGATATCCGTCACTGAAGGTGGAAATGGTCCGGCAGCTTATACTGTTGTCATGACTCAAGATTCTTCAACAAGTAGGTATAATTCGTCTATTGTGAATTCAGCAAATTATATTTACTAATTGGTTCTACCTATGGTCATTTTTTAACTATCCTTCATGGGTCAGTAGATTAGTATTTCATAAAAAGTTTATCGACTTAGTCTTGAAGTCCTGAGTGTCCATCAAAGACCGAACCTCACCTCCGGGGTATTATTGCCTTTGTCAATAATCATTCTTCCATTAGTATGCACACAGCATTCACTCGTGAGAGGTTAAGCATATTGTAAAACTAATTACTGATTAAGTCCTAGATCTAACATCCTATGGTGTACTCCCAAGCTATGCAAATAAATGCAGTTGAGTTTGTTCAAATTATTGTTACATGAAGGGAGACAGTTGGCATGAAGACTTATACCTTGGTTTTGTGCATACTGGTACGCTTGAGGGAGGCTACCTTGAAGGGAATGATCTTGCTTCTGAGATTTGAACTGACATCAGTAGATGATGCAGTCACAAGAAGCGTTATCTGACTGACTCAAGGCTACAGTAACGCCTTGCTAATGAGTGTCAGTGAACACTTAACCTAAGTCCATGGCTTCCCCTCACCATCTCAGATCAACTAACAATAATTCAGAGGATTGCACACGATTGTGAGTCTCCCAGGTGGACGAATTCATTGTAAAGTGAATAGTAGAATTCAGTCAGTACTAATTAGGAATAAACACAAGACACTAGTTACCAAGCCCACAGTGTCCATTCAAATGTGTTCTAACTGTAGCTTACCCACAATGGCTTGGCAACATTTCTTATAATGTCAGGCCTTATTAAGCATAAATACAGACAATTCACTTATATGCGTGAGTGTGCAACATTTAGGTACTAAAAGAAACTAAGATTAACAAACCTTAACTTTTCTTCTAACACAGGTTTGTATTAGATATGTTAACATAACAGAATAGTGCATGAGTGAATAAGCAAGGCTTGAGCAGATCCCTTTTTTTCTTTTTTTCAATAATTTGATTGGGAACAGCATTTTACTTCTCTTTTTTAGAGTTGTCTAGATTGTTGCTCATATCCTGAAAAGATAATAAATTGATATTATTTTATGTTATTATGACTAGAACAAAGCCTTCATAATCCACTGTTATATTTCAGTATTAAATTTACTAGGATTCATCTTGCAGGAAACCGATCACAAGTAGAGTTTTATACTACAGTATTTCATTTTCCGCATCAGCAGTTGTTGTGGTTACTGGAGATAAGAAAACTAACGCAATATATCCATACTTTCATTTACCTCATTGAAGCTCTATTGGATGTTCATGTGTTGATTTGTCAGTATTTCTTTCATTTGCAACTTGAAAACGAACAAAATTCTGTTAGAGAATTATCAAAAACCAGTTGTCTCATCCTCTTTGGCACCTCTAAAGTTGTGGGCATACTTGAGCATATCGGATGTCGGACCTATGACCTTTAGGTCTCAAGGCTAGCCCATTGTCTATCTAGCAATTAAATCACATTTCAATGGCCCATGAATTATAACTTTGGCAATTTTCAATGTCATCGAAGAGTATTTACCTTCAAATCCACCTTGATGGAGCTTTATGGTCACGACCTCAAGCAACTTATTCTTGTAGTCAGCCACTAGTAAGCACTAGATAATGTCTGAGTGTTAATTCACAGGGATTTGATTGAATTGAAGTTCATTCAGCTATTGCTATGCTCTCGCGTCAATAACTGTACTCCTTCTTTTCCAATTGACTCTCAACCAAATGTTGTGCGATTCTCGAAGGGGGCAAAGATGTGATATCATAAGTGAATGGTTTTCGCCTCGAGTCAGACAGAAGTATACCATACGACTTACTGTCAGTTACTATTTGAATTGAGGATCTGGACAAAGGGAAACTATCATGCAATGACTATCACTGAAAATTCTGTAGACTACACAAACACTGTTTAGAATAAAGCTGTTATTATCAAGGAGTGTAAGCCGACAAAGTGTGCAGCATTTTCTACAAAGCGTTATATTGTATCACTAATTTAAAATGATCACCACTGGTGACTGGAGGAAGCGCCGGCGGTTGAAGACGCTACTCCTCTTTTCCAAACGTTTCTAAATTATGTTGTATTAAATAACGTAAAGGAAGAATTAGTATTTTGTTAACTACAGAGTAAAACTTTTCATTCTCTTTATGCTGGTATTAATACCGTGTTGTCATTCTCTTCAATTTCTTTCTCTTCAAGCGACTAAAACCATAAATCACGGTTTACTGATACCTGTCAATTTAGTTGTCCGACAATTAGGTTCTACTTGGGCACGTATAGGTTGGGAAATGCCTAATATTCCACAATCTGTTAAAATGTCAATTAGTGGATTTCAAGTAAAGTATTATCAGGTAAAATCCAGCAGTCAAGATGAATATAAAAATGAGTTGGAAGATTCAATTTCAATTGGGGAAAAATCTTCGACAGAACAGTCGGTTGATAAAAGTCATGAAATGAAATTCATCAATATGACCGTATCACCGAATCAGTTTCAGGCGGAAAATTTTGATTTAACTCTCCGCAATCTCAAACCTGCAACTCAATACGAGTTTGGTGTTCGTATGCTGAACAATGAAATGACAATAGACAGACAAGACATAGACAACCATCAGAGGACAGCAAAGAATTATTTTTGGAGTATGGTTCAAGGATTTGAGACCTTTGGTAGAAGTAAGATGTTATCCAAATTGTTTATTGTGAAACATATTTTTATGTATTACCTTTCTGTAACTTTTTGACAAAGATAAAAATCTAATAAATGCAAGTGAGTTTGGTTTATTTATGGTCACTAAAAAAATTTAGAAATAATGGTGATGTATGTGTAGATATATAGGCTTCACGGTTCTCTCACCTAAGACCATATGCAGTATCTGTTCTTTGCGACAGTGCGTTAGTAGCTTAACGAAAGAATGCTCGCCATATACGTAGGATGTTTGGGGTTGGGCCGACCCACTCCTTTACCTTGCTATACCAGTAATAAGACTGGTAAAGAGGAAAGGTTGGGCATGTGGTTAACAATCCCATCCCGTAAAAGTAAATACCACTGCTACTGAAAAACCTCAAGCCTCTAGCTGAAAGACCTATAATCCACTTAGAAAGGAATGGACTTTTCCATTTTTTAAGTACATCTTTAAAACTTACACTGACTACTTCTCCTAGCATTAAACATTTTTAATCTTGCTATATGTTCTTTAGATTTTTAACTACAATGTCTATTTGAACATTTGTTTGCATAACGTGTAACAATCTCATTAATTTACTAGTCAATATAATTGAAACTTATTTGTATCAATGTACGTATCACAGTAAAGCCACAGACAACAAACACTAAACATAACAGAATACAAAATGAATGTATTATAAGGAATCAACCGATGGGAAACAACAATTTTCAAACACCGCCAAAAAAGGAATATTGATAAATCCCTAGTGGTTTAAATTTTTGTGACACCATAATTCACACGCCGATTTTGTTGTCTACAATAATATTTTCCTTTCGACAGTTATATATATATATATATATATATAAATAGAAATTGATTATCTACTGCCTATGAAAATAATACACTCCTTAGGTGAAGTGAGGCGAATTACTAATATGTGAAATATAGAGATGACGTAGAAAGTTCAGTTTCGAATTAAAGTGAAGAACCTGTACACTGTGGTAGAATGTAATTCCATATTACATAAGTTTATTACATGTATCACACAGGAATGAACAATTAACAGTTGGATAACGTTTCGAGCATAGATTATTACTCATAATCTTATCAATTTAGTCACACAGTTTGACTATTCTTCGTCTTATATATTTTGTCTCTTTCTCTCCCCCCAACTTCACCGTGTTGTTTGTTGCCACTTTCCATATCTCCAGTATAGGCGTTGTGTCATTTGGACTGGAAGTGTGCGGTGGTGAATCGATAAACAAAGCTTCAGTGAATAACCTCCCTCTTCACCTAACCATATATCACTTTTGAATACTCTCACCCTGTCTCACTCTATTTTGTGATCATATGAGAATGAATGCAATGTAATGGCTGAGTTTTTTTTCCTAGCAGGGTCAATTATTCTGGGTCTAACTAAATTTTTATGTTCCACTAATCTAGTCAATTCTGATCTACTAATTTGACCTACGTAATTGATCTCATGTGCGTCGGTGGTATAGCGGTTAGGACGTTCGCCGATCATCCACATGGTCCGGGGTTCGACCTCCGGCCGGCGCACTCCTTTACCTCACTGAGCCAGAAATAATGCTGGTAAAGAGGAAAGGTTTGGCATGAGGCTAGCAACCCCATCCTGTAAAAATTAAACACTGCTACAGAAACTTCAAGCCACTAGCTTGGAGCCCTATGTTCCATTGGGAACGTGAAGGAAAAATTCTTATTTATTAATTGATCTCAAAGTCATTACATGGTGTTTGATAAATTATATTATTTTTCTTAATTGGATCTATTGTGTCCTCAAGCCTACAAAGTTGGTCACTGGGAGCGTAGATCATTTCGTTGAAATGACACCCTAATTTCAGACTCATTGAGGATTCAACGTTAGGTATCTGACGTTCCTTCTTTATACGGCAGTACTACGGAAGATTTGAATTCTATATTATTTTCATCACTTTTATTGCTTGCTAATCTTAGTTTTTCCATGGTTCTTCATATATTTCTGAATAAATTCTTCTGGATATTTATTTAATTTTGTTAATTATTTTTTTTTCATTTTTGATTACAGCTTGATTCCACAATGTATTTTTGATGCAAGTATGGAATTTTCAGCATGGATATCGGTAGCCCAAATTCTGCCCACCGACCATAGATATCAGGTGTGCGTCGGTCGAGGATCGAACCCCGGACCATGTGCATGGTCGGTGAGGGTCCTAACCACTGTGCTATCAACGCAGTTTGATTTCATTATTTAAACCTTCTGGCTTACTAGTTAGACTCATGGCCTGATTACAAAGACATTTAACTAGACCTGCCTTTACTGATTCCAGACAAAATGAATTGAAGTCTAAGTATTTATTAGAATGTGTCGGTTTCCTATCATGTTCGCTAAAGAAATTTATTCATCGGTGTGAGTTCAATGACAATCATTGTCTCAGTTCCCAGCTAACACTAGTTATTTGCTCGTGTGCTGAATAACGTTATTCCACTAATTACTCTCAGAAAACCCAGTGGTTCTTAAGGGTGTTGTTAAATTCTGGATTGTTGAAATTAATCGGAGAATAGCCAGAGACCTACTTTTCATGATTATCAGTATAAAGGTAATTGTGTTCCCTTTAATGTTCAAATTCAGCGCTGCAGTCACAGGGAGTATCAATCAATTTTTCACGGCAGTAGATGCTCCAAACTGATGAGTATCAATAACAAAAAAACTTACATCTGCTTTCAGTCATGTAACCTTAATTAAAGATGTTCACCACGATGGCTAGTCTCCTAGAATGACTTATAGAATTCAAACAGCATCACTAAGGGTTAGACATATGAAACTGGTTACCTTGCAAACTAACTATGATTATATTTCAATATTTAACACACAGTGATATGCTTCTTGTTCTGGTAATATTTCGAGCAAAATAACTACTCGTCATCGCACCAATTTTTGGAGTTGAATAAAAAAACAATTCCAGCAGTTGGTGTGATGATGGACAGTAATTTTACTCGAAATATTACCAAAACAAAAACTTATCATTGTGTGTGCGCTCCTCAAATATAATTATAATTAATTTGATCTATCCCATAATGCACAAACTTTTACTGAAATCAATGTTAAATCTACAATTACCGATAAATATTTTGATCTATTTTATTTTCTTCATCATGAGTAAAGGAAACATGCAGATTCAGAGTGCTTCAGTTAATTTTTGTCTTGAATACGCTAAGTAGATTGCAGCCTAGACAAATTACTCTGAAGATTATTTTCATCTTCGCTGACGCACTGTTGTCTGATTGGCAGTGAAGACAAGCAAACATTCTAACAGGACTTTTATTAATTGTCCCTACAGTTTTTACACATTCCTGATTTCTGTTTATAGATGAGTAATATCCAACTGAAAACCTGTAGATAGCAGAAGTGAATTATGCCTAAACTAATTCCATTGTGAGTAGTTTCAACTCCAATCAACAGAATTTCGCATATTTGTCATTAATTATATAGTGTTATCTAGTATCATTGTCACAGGTATTTAGTTCTGTAGTTAGCGACTGCAGTGAAAATACATTTTGTATCACATTTAGTAAAAGACATTTCGGTTCTTAGCGAAACTTAGACATCTTGTTGCCTTTTCAGATGACAGCGTACCGTCTCATATTCGTAAGAGTCCTTTTGTTATGAAAACCACTTACCTTTACTGCTTCATTCTTATTTACCATCGTTATGTGCAGATAGAAATATACGACCATCCATATTTTAGTCGTTCTCTTGATAGATTTCTAAATATATTATTATTATTTCCTTCACGTTCCCACTGGAACAATGGGCTTCAAGGTTCTAGCTTGAAGTTTTTGTAGCAGTGTTTATTTTCACAGGATGGGGTTGCTATCTTCATGTTCAATCTTTCCTATTTACCAGCTTTTATTTCTGGCTTAGCGAGGTAAAGGAGTGCACCGGTCGGGGATCGAACCCCGGACCATGGGCATGGTCGGCGAGCGTCCTAACCGCTGTGCCACCGACGCACTTTTTAAATATATATGAAAGTAAATTAACATAAATCTAAGGATGAAAACGTTATTATAGGACTAGAACTGAAGTAATTGAATGTTATTTATGTTTAAGGAATAGCACAGCACAGCGAATAAATTCATCTTTTCGAAGATTTCATTTATGATATGGAAAAATGCTTTGGGTGGCACAACTGCTCGGTCACTTTGCATATGGGTCGGCAAGGAACCAATTGTTCAACAAATATGTAGGAAGAAATGGAGTTGAATTGGCCATACTCTCAGAAAACCAACAAGCAACATCACACGACAGGTTATCGCTCTAGTCGAATCCGAATGGGAAATGGCAAGTTGGTTGTCAGTGAGAAGGTAACATGGAGGAGGTCATGTGAAGAGGAGATGAAAGCATGCTAGCAGACGTGGACCTCAGTGAAAATGTTGGCAGAGAACCCCACGCAATAGAGACTTGCGGCTGGAACCCTATGTTCCGCAAGGAATTAAAATAAACGAAAATAATAACAATCAAGATAATTAACATAATATTTAAGGAAGTAGAAGTGAAGTGGATGAAATACGAAACTTTTAAAAACTATTAAATAAGTGAAATGGTATTAAAATTTTAAGTGTAGGTATTGTTTAAGAAACTAAAAGTATGATGACGGTAACAAGGCGAAGATGAAGGGAATTGTGATGAATCCAAGTGACAAGATAGTATAAAATAAAAAAACGATTACTGTGAACAAGGTAAATAAATAGACTCAGCAAAACGTTTTTGAATATATTGTGTAGGTCTTTGTTCATGTACAGCTAAAACTCCTGCTATACGTAAGTGGAGTAAAGGTAAGCTTTTAGAGCGCCTGGATTACGCCGTGTAGGCAACTATAAGGGATAAATCACATTAGGTTGAATGACCTGACTCCAGAAAGTGTTCACATTTTGAAAAATTCGTCAACTATTGCTCACCTTTCATCAACCAAACTGTTTAGTATGTCTTTAGAGAGAACATGCTCTCATTTTCCATTGTAATCAGCTCCATAGGCACAGGTGAAAGAGCAGATGCATACAGAGGCGAAACTTAGCGGCAATTTATCCTTGTCGGATTGACAAACCATATTTTAGCTAGAGAACACCGAATGTAGGGCAGTGGCATGAAAATAGTGGTTAATACACTTGGACAAAAGACTTTTAATTACTTTAGCAATAGTGTCGACTTAACAATCCAACTGATATACTAAGGATAATTTTGCTTAATTAAATGAACTAACTCTTCTCATAATCCAAAAGTTACTGATCACTGCATTCATGAAATTTTGTAATGGTTTGAATTTTAATTGGTCTAGGTTATAATTATTTTCAGTAAGTTACTTTAACATAAGTTCCTCTTAAACCAAAAATTAGTTTTAGGATGTTGTAGCCTAAATTTTGCTGGATTACTCAGAGCTTCATGTTTTTAGAAAAATTGTATCGAGAAGACATATTTGGCCGCCTATTCTGTTTCCTATAACTACAGTCAAGACAGTTATACAACTAAACAACAAAATGAGAGCATACACCTCTGTTTTTCTTCTTATTATTATTCAAGTTTATAAAGGGAAATATTTACACAAAGTGTATATAACAATAGTGTCCTAAGATTATGCAAATAACAGTCACCTTCTTCCCATAACTTTACTTACACAAAGTTATTAATTCGTTTTGACCTAGACTGACCTTTCAATCTTGACAGAATATATTACGCATAGGCGGTAGAATGAACAAAGGAAAGAAAACGCTTAGAGAACACGTTTGCGTGTCACTTTGCGTTTAAAATAAGCTATTTTCATAAAAATCACAGAATATATATTACATAAATTAGATTAATCAGAATTTGTCTGGCTTTTTTATTTAAGGTTGTCAGGTCTACTTGGATAACATTTGTATATTGTGAGTACTCATGTTGCATAGGTATATATTCTTTCCTTTGTGTTATACTTCAAGGGAAATTTATGAGTATTGTAAAATATGATGGTAATCTACCCCAATTAAACACTGCGTTTATGACTGAAGTTTGCAGGAAATCGGATTTTATACTGACTGCCCTAGAGAGAATCAGCCTCCAAATACATACGACTCTCATTATTTTTTGTTTAGGTGCTTAATCCAAATGTCACTTGAATAAGGTGCAGATATGTCACTAACAAGGTTTTGTCATAACGGAAACCAAGTTGATTTAGAAAGAAGAAATATCTGGTTCACTGTTGGTCGTACTGCCTGCTCACAAAACAAAGGAGTCTCTAGATTCACATTTAATAGTTAAATACACTTACTTGTAAATTTAAAAGTGAAAGAGGAAAATGGACTACTCGGGTCTTCTTTTATTTCGAAGTAGTCTATGGTTCAGCAGTAGAATGCTCGCCAGCCGCATATGTGGTCAGGGGTTCAAAGCCCGGTCAACGAACTCTCAAAACCCGCTGAGCCAGAAGGATGGTCGGTAAAGAGGGAAGTTTGTGCATAAGGCTAGCAATCCATCCCCCCCTGGCCGTCGTAAAAATGAACACCACTGCTACCAAAACTTCAAAGCTCTAGCTTGTAGTCCTATGTTCGACTGGGAACATAAAAAATTGATTTGTGGACCTGTATGTTCTAAGTGCTATTCAAAGGTTTACTGTTCGATCATTTGAGATGTGAATCTGACTTATTCTAGTTTACTGCTACAACAATAGCTGCTTTTTGGTTATTTTAAATGTCGACAACACAATAAGAAGACGTAGTTTATCTGAAGCGTGTAATGTATTGGCGAAACACATTTCGGACATTCTGATCACACACATACTTGTCATACACAGTTTTTATAGAAGGCAAGAAGGCATGAATAATTACAATACAGGTCAGATTGTGTACAGGTCAAGGTGACAAATAATGGGTAGGGAGACGCAAAAGGTGTGGGTAAGAAAGATAAAGAGAGGAAAAACAAGGCAAAGAAGGGGTTTGAAATTATTCTGAAGTAAATTGGTCCTCTGTTCTAAATTGGATTACCAAGGCAGGTTTAAGGTGATAACAAATAACTTTTGGACGCATAAGACAGGTTTAAGTCTTTTAATGGCTAAGGCTTCAATGAATTTAAGTATGTGACCCAACCTTGTTTTATATATTGGCTTAAAGGCATTGTTAAAATCAACCTTATGACCCGTCTCTATAATATGCTTCGTTATAGATGATGTTGGACATCTATTTCCGGGTCAATTGTATTTGGCGATTTCATTTGTTGTTGCAGCCACTTTGGAATGTGTTCTGTAGCCGCAACCCGCAGAGACCGATGGGTCCTCCCTATGTAAATCTGGTTTTCTTATTCATTCCGAATAAGGCAATGACTTTTATGTTGATCGGAACTTTAAATAAAAATATTAAGTATGGAAATAATAATTGAGTGTAATCGTTGTCTGGTAAGATAGCCAGAACTTAAGTCTGCTGCCAGTCATCTTCTATTCAGAGTAGAGAATAAATTTTATTACTCTAGGAATGAGCAGGGCACATTCAAATTTCATCATTCTGGCCTTCAGTTTAAATCTGGTACGTCTTCTCTTGAATGCTTCCTCCATTTTGCTTTTTAGAACTATTAGTTAGTTTTGATATATTGTCTGTAGCCATTTGCCTAAATAATGTGGTTCAGTCTGTAGTAATTCGTATGAATAACACAAATATAGACAGGTGGGTCACTCTTCCAGTCACCTTTGACTATTTGGAAGAAAGTTAGTTTTCTACGTTGTCATTTCCAATTCCTTCCCTTCACAACCAACCAGATGAATCTGTTGACATTCTTTTATCTATTAGTATTAAAACTGAAAGTCTGTAATATGAATTAATAATCTAGTGTAATATATGAATGACACAGAATCCTAAAACTCAGTGACTTAACCTTGTTTGGTTTTTTATAATCTTCTCAAAAATTGGTTATACTTGGATGCCCGTAATGTCTAGTATGCTGAAAAGTGATGCACATATGTTCATCGGCATTTTTTTCATAGAACGAGGATTCACGCATCAGAATGACTTCTGTCTACATAGTCTACAACTTCTTAAATCATTCTTGTGCCATATAGTTGTCTATTTCGGATACCTTTTTTCTTTATCATGATTTATCGATCATTTGTGTCACTTTTATTCAAAAGATCTCATTTTCTTAGATTATGGAGAATATTAGGCGGTGTTTACTCAGTGTATACGTTTCTGTAGTAATTAATAGCTTATTTCTACTGGTTTTTTCAATTTGTTTTCTTTTGAAGGTCCAAAAGATGCCCCATCAAACATACGATTGACAAAATTAAAGCTAAACAATCGATTGCATACGAAACTTCAGCTACTAGACTTCTCATCAGCCAGCACTTCTACTACTTCTACAACAGTTTCTTCTGAACCTGAAGATTCTTCAACTTCAGTGCATGCCAACAGAAACCATGAAAAAGATAGTCCCAGTTCACGACTTGCTGTAACAATGTTAATTAAATGGGATCCACCAAGTTATCCAAATGGAAGAATTCTTGGGTCAGTTTTATATTTAACTACTAACTCAAAACAGTCTAAAGGGAAATGGATAGAAAGATCAGTAAACGGAAAAAGTACAGAGGCTGGCTTATTAAGAATGCAACCGAATACACTATATTTTGTTCGAATTATTGCAAGAAATCAAAATGGGAGATCACCGTATTCATCTATCATCGCCTTTTATACACCAAACGGTAGGAATTAAATTTATTGAAATGTTAAAATTAAACTGAGGAACTTATTTTATTCTAATGAGCATTTTTATATCATGCATTTACATTATAATAATATCAGTTTTAAGACTATCCATGATTTTATTACTATTAAAACACTGGGTTGATCGTGTTTGCTACTTCAGTTTGTGATACAGTTGGAAATGCAACCACACTTGAGAAATCTATTTTGCTCCTTTTCGTCGTCTATACCGATTCAACCGAGAAAGAGGAAACGTATAAAATTCAAATAATAGCATTAATAATATCACTCCTTATAATGAATATGTAAAGTTTGGGTGCTATGGTAATGTATATTAAGTTTCATGTGTTTGTCTGTAGACATTTGATTTTTTTCAAGTCTGGTCACGGATTGATACCAGTAAGAGAACCACTGAAAATCAGGGAGTACCGGAGGGGCATTTCGTCTTACTTAGGGACTTATCGGTAGTGCACACCCCCTGGTTTTCGAACTAAAGACCTTCCAGTTATGAGGGTAGATCGAACTTTACTCATCTACAGGGACACGACTCAGTAGGCCATATTTATTCGTTTATTGTACATATATTACACACGGAAACGACATTATTTAATGGATGACATTTCTAACACAGTTTATTGTTTGTAATCACATTATTTATAACCAAACAACTTTGAAACTTGAGGTTACAGTTCTCGTTCTTGTTTTCTGTTTATCACAGGGGTAGTCAGATGCTAGAATTATAAGTTTAAATGCCATTGGACAGAGTAGTAGGATAGAATTAATTAAAATCTACATTAGTCCACCCTCATAAGATAAAGTTATTTAAAAAGTCTCAGGTGTATCATTATACACGAACATATGCGAACATACAATAAAGGTTACAGGGTGACACACCTCAAATTTAGTGTCATAGGATTAAGGGGAAGAGTGATTACTGAAAATTTATTTATCGAATCAACTGAGAGTATATACAATAAGAATGATTTAACACCTGTCCCGCACATCTTGAAAATTCTACTACCCCTACAACAAATGGGAAGGAAGGAAGAAAACTATGAAAATCATGTTTTGAAGCTTCATATTTACAAGTGATGTTATTATGAACAATAAATTGTGTTCAAAACTTTGTGATTCAGTCAATACGCAGTGTCAATATTTTTTGAAGCCTAGAAATAAAAGTTAAGCAAGATGATAAATGATAATGGGTAGATTTAAACGTATATTGAAATGTTTAAAATGTGAAGTGAAGAACGGGTTTGCTTCTGTGGCTTAGATTGGCGCCACTCCTGAACTGGGAACCTTTAGGCCCCAACTGTTTTCGATTTTTTTCGGTAAACTTCCAAATCAAATTATCTGAAATCTAAAATTACTTAGTCTTGTTATTTCACTTTCAAGGCAAATAATTTTTCCTTCACGTTCTCATTGAAGCAAAGGGCTTCAAGCTAATGGCTTGAAGTTTCTGTAGCAGTGTTTATTTTTACAGGATGGGGTTGCTAGCCTCATGCCCAAACTTTCCTCTTTACCAGCTTAGCGAGGGAAAGGAGTGAGTCGGCGGGGAATCGAACCCTGGACAGTGTGAATGGTCGGCGAACGTCCTAATCGCTGTGACACCGACGCACTGGAATTTAACTACACTACCGGCGTCCGAACCCAGGACCTTCTGGTTACAAGGCTAGCGAACTTGTAGACCATTGAGCCTCTGGGACCCAAAAATTATAATAAATTAAATTATAATTATAATTCACTCATTTAGAATCTAAATTTAATGTAAACAACTCACTTTGGGATTCTTAATAATATGACACTTCGCAGACAGTAATTGATGACTATTCCTGATCATTGCAAATCCTTAATTTTTAAGTGGTTCAGACATGTGAAGGACACGGTTCTCCCATACCGTTAAAGACTGAATACATTTCCTCTACACTGAAATCCATCCACCATTGTATACAAACAGAGTGTTAATTCCCCGAAAATCTTCATTTTTGGGGATTTTTATTCATTTTGAAACACTTCTGAACAACAATACAATCAGAACAAGATGACTGTGAGCGAACAGTTGTTTTCAATAAATTCTTAATCAGGCTCTACAGTTATATAAATATGAAAAAATGTAATACAAATGTACATATGAAAAGAATAAAGGCAATTAAAATGATATCCTAAATAAGGTAGAGTTGAAGTGGATGAATTACAAAGTTTTAATTGGATGGAGGATTTCATCATGAGCTGGCATCAATTAGAAAACCATTGGAAAACCATCTGGGAGTACTGGGTAGCTGTTTCGTCCTGTTCATCGGTACGCACCCACCACAGGGGTTCTAACCCAGGACCTTCTGGTTACAAGGTCAGTTCGTAGACCATTGAGTCACTGGGACCCAATCCAATGGACAGCCCATGAATTCTAACTTCTGCCGATTCACGATATAGCGCAACCATTTCACAATGTCTTCTTCGATGTGTTACTGGCTCATTGAGGAGCTCATTCGAGGAAAATCCGCAAAATCATGATTGACAGTCTATCCAAACACATGGGATAACTGTACATGAGACTTTTAGTCCAAACTGCCACTGCCTGAAAAAAATAAGACTGATTACCTCCAGTCTTCAATTATTTCTATGCTATCGGGTCAATTGCTGTTCTCCTGCACCCTTTCCAATTGACGCTCAACCAAATGTTGTACGATTCTCGAAGGGGGCGAAGATGTGATATCATAAGTGAATGGTTTTCGCTTCGGGTCAGACAGAAGTATGCCACACGACTTAATGTCAGTTACTATTTGAAGACCATGGACAAAAGGAAACTACCATGCAATGAATATCACTGAAAATTCTGTACATTATACAAATACTATTCAGAGTAAAGCGATTGTTGCTATTAATTTAAGTCTCCGAAATACACTTTTGACCATGGACAAAAGGAAACTACCATGCAATGAATATCACTGAAAATTCTGTACATTATACAAATACTATTCAGAGTAAAGCGATTGTTGCTATTAATTTAAGTCTCCGAAATACACTTTTGAGTTCCATAGCATACAGTGAAGGCATTAAGTAGTTTTTCTCCATGCTAGCCATAAATATCTTCAACAGACAGGTAAAGAGAGTCATGCAATTTCGGTTATTCTATTCACTACCCATTTCAGATTATATCTATATTCAAATAATTCAAGTAATTACAGGTTTAGATATTTAACAATTAGGTTATTAGGGAAATAATGCTGTACTTTCTCATTCTTAACTGATTCACACCAGCCAATCACATGCAATCTAAACATTTACTTTATTATTGTAAGAAAAGTTCTCTTACTCCTATTGTATGTCACTGAAATATCTCTATTGTTTATTTCTGAATAATAATTTCCTGTTGTTTGTTTGTTCCTTCGTTGAACACATGTTAGGCGAACGTGAGCTAGGCAGTACCAGTACCAGTTTTCAATGTTCAATGATTTATTTCCGGGTTTTTTTTTTAATATCTCAATAACTGAAACATATGCGTGTACATCAGCAAGATTTCATAAAAATAATACCACTATTCTTAAATTTCTTTCATCTTTACCGATTAATGTTGGAATATGATATTGTTATTATAAATTTATATATTTTTTAAAGGTGATACTTACATGGGAAAACGAAACTTTTATCAGATTGCTAACAGTTACTTTCATTTTTTTGCATTTTATACTGGTTGAAGGAATATTATGTGTTGATGTCAACTTGACAAAAGGCAAGAGGCTGCACTCTGGTTGTTAGTGCTAGGTTACAGGTCAAAAATAGACTCACTTTCTCATGCTAAACTACTTCCTATCAAACAGGTTTGTGTTTTATTTAGGCTACTCAAGGTTGATATCAAAATAGAATTTGGACATTGTGAGATATTATGATTCCATTAGAAAATTATTATTTTTATTTGATAAGAAATCCAGGGATATAGTATGACTTAGTGATGACGTTTCGAGCACATTTTATTGCTGCTCATAGTCATATCAAGGCACTTAAATAACTTTCAAACTTTGTGTATGTAATGCCGTTATCTCTTATCCTTTGACTTTTTTGGTGGTAAGGTTTTTCTTATCTCTGGCATCGGCGTAATCTCATTCCTATAGCACATCCTAGGTGTAGATTCGGTGAAAAAAGATGCGGTAATCAACCTATCTCTATCTACATACTTATATTACTTAGCAGAGTTGTAGGTCTACTCCACCCTATTATGTGATTGTGATAGTGCATTCACTGTGATTCTTGAGTTTTTCTATAAGCTGTTTATCTTCTTGGGACCAGTCGTTCTCGGCCTGGTTAAATTTTCTATATTCCAAAAACCTGACTACTTTGAGCTAATTATAAGCAGTGAATTTTGTTTGAAATGTCATCAGGAAATATTGCCATATCACTAAATGTTTTCGATCAGATGAAATTATTCTCTGATAGAAAGTGAACTGTTGAAAACGATGTCTAACTTCTAATCTTTACCTCAGCTTAAAACCCTGCAGGGTGTTTCACACTGCGAATTTGAAAAGTTCATCGGCCATTGAATCGGATCCCAGTGGCTAAATGGTCTACAAGCTTGCCTTGTAACCAGAAGCTTGGCCGTGGATGTATACCGCTGATTAATCCTAAACTAGGATGAGACAGGTGTCCAGTACACCCTGGTTTCCCAATGATTCTCAAACTAACCTCATCTCATGCCGAAATCTTTCAAACAATCAAATAATACTCTATTCAAAACCAATACTTGAAAACTCTACTAATTCTTTGAATTATTAGTAATAGGCTTTATGTGAAATGCGGTTTCCGTGGCTTGCTGTTCTGGGATATAATGCTCTAACATTTCAAATGATGACTACTGGTCTAGAGCCCCAGAGTGTATATCAATCCCCACTGAGATGATGGTGAATCCAGCCGACGGGTCTTAGGGAAGACAAAACGTGTGTCTCGTATCCAACTACTGCCTAACACAATCAAATAACACGAAACATATTTTGTTTTCTAAGTGGCC